CCCGGAGGGGGGTGGGGCGGAGGGACAGGTGGGTGCTGAGGAGAAACCACCTGGGCGGGAAGGAGAGGAGTCGGGAGCAGGAACAGGGCCAGGTTGCCAGGACCCGGGGAGGGCGGGAGGCCAGGAAATCCACAGATAACCCTGATAACAGGCACCGCGGCTTGGCCTGTGCCTCTTCCCTTTCCAGAACACAGGTTCCCATCACAGATCCTCTACCAGCCACATCCGCTCATCCCAAACTGAAGAAGCTGCACCGACCTAGGCTGCCAAAGGCGGCGGGCCAATCGCCCTCACTCCCAGGATGCAACGCGCGCCCCTCCCGGAAGTGCTCGCCCCGCTCACCTCGGAGCTGCGGGAGCCTTTCAGCACCTGCTTGGTGAGCGCTATCACGTCGGTCCCGCAGGTGTTCACCTTCTCCGTGAGAAGCCCCTTCACAGACTGACCAAATCGTGCTTGCGGATCCGGCGCCCCAGCCGCCATCGTCTCAACCGGCGAACGCTCAGCCGGACGACGGCGAGTCCCTGGGGCCAAAAGAGACGCCAGGCGTGAGATCCCGCGAAGAGGAAGGATCGCGTGCGCTTACTGCAAACCCCTTCCTAAAATGATTTAAAATGCTCAGTCAGTGAGAATGGGAGGAAGATAAGGCGTAAACCTGCACCCCTGGAGCGGATAGAACATAACGTGGGTCAATCTATAGGTGGAGTCAGAAGACCTGGATTACAACCCAGTCTACCTTTTAAAAAGTGGGGTGGCTACAAATTACTCGACCCCTGGGTCTTATGTTGCTCATCGGTGTTATAGCCAGCACTGCATAAACTAGGCTTGGTAGCACGACTCTGTAATCCCAGCATTCTGGAGGTGCAGGCGGGAGGGTCAGGAGTTCAAGGTCAAGAAGTTGAGGCCAGATGGGAATACATTAGAACCCATGTATAAAATAAAGTAAGAGATTTCCTTTAATTCTAACGGGTATTTCATTAAAACTATCAAAGGACACAGACAGTCCAAAGAAAAGTAAATTCAAATTACTAATGTGAAAAATGTCAGCATCACTACTAATATTTTATCAATAGCCATTTTTATTGATGAATAGCGTTTCAATTAAAAGCCTGCTTATAGTTTACAGAAGGATGCTAGTGTTGGCTCCTCACCCTGGCAGAGGCAGGCCCCTCCTGGCTTTCCCTCGCCCAATCCCTCCTGTGAGGTTTGCTGTGCTGTGTGACTTTGTGGTTTGTCTTGGCTCCCATCGGAGCTGTGCTCTTACAGTTAAGTCATCGGGAATATGCCCTTTAAGGAGTTCTTGAGAAACTGGTCCCATTTTGTCTCTTTCAGTCTGTGGTAGTTTGAATCTAATTGGTCCTCATTATCTCATAGGGTGGGGCACTAGTTGCAGGGGTGGCTTTGCTGGGATGGGTGTGGCCTTGTTGGAGGAAGTGTCACTGTGGGGGTGGGCTTTGAGGTTTCCTATGCTCAGGATGCTGCCCAGTGCATCAGTCAGTCCACTTCCTGTTGCCTGCCTATCAGGATGTAGGACTCCCAGCTCACCGCCTGCCTCCGTGCTCCCCACCATGATGATAATGGACGAGCCACCCTCGATTAGAAGTTTCCTTTCTAAGAACCTGGTGTCTGTTAACAGTAATAAGAACCCAAACTAAGACACCTTCCCAACCATGAAGTGAACAGCCCTTCACCACGTGCTACCACCATGGTGCACTGTGGTGCCCCAGCACCAAAGCACTGGGGCCAAATGACTAGGACCTCTAGAAGAAAAGGATAGTAATAGAAAAGTTACACATACAAAAATCCTAAATTGAGGGTCTGCAGACATGGTTTTTAAACAGCTTAAACAGTTCATTCGAGAAAAATTCCTAACCCAAGAAACTCAAAACAAGCTGAGAGCCACATGAGGGACATATTGCCTGAAACCATGGAAATAGAGTTTTACCAAAGTCCTCTCCTTACCATACTATTGAAGGGACCAGCTCCTCATTTCGGCAGCCATGACAGTAACATGTGCTCTCTATGAAGTTGTCTTAGTCACTAGAGGTTAGGTGCCTGCCTCGTGACAAGGAACCAATCAGAAGTTAGCTGGTGGCGCTATGCTTTACGACCCTGGGTATACTTTGCGGACAAGCGCACAGCAATGACACACAGCATAGCAACCATCCTGGGAGGGCCTATGGGACATAACAACCAGTTGACCAATCTACACAGGGCAAGCCCTCCAAGTCTGGAGACACACCAATCGTGAGCCTGTGCATACCCCTAGATACTCCCCTTATGCTGCCCTACAAGATCTCTCGAAGCCGGTTCAAACTGTCTTTTGCGAGCTATCCACCATGGCAGGTGGGTGAAAGACCCGAGCTAACATGGAGTTACCTCATTAAAAAAACAATAAAGCCTCATGCAGTTTGCAGCAAGCTCTCGAATCTGCCTGGTGATTGGGGTGAC